AAAAATACAAAAACCTTTTCAAAAGCTGTTTCATTCCATCATGTTTTACAACAAACAAAGGTACAAGTTTTACAAAAATAATAAACTCCTAGTTAATGTACAATGTGCTACACTATCTAGCCACAAAGGAAATAAGCACGGAAACTGGCAGCATCAATAGCCTCGGGAGCTGAAGTTCAGCCATAAACTTTTCCCCGATCAACTCTGTCCATTTTGATCATCTCAGTCATCTTTATCCATCAGCATTCATCGCGATCTCCGGTGCAAAGTTACTCAGACTAGGGGCAACTTTCCGTTGCCATGCAGTGCCGCATTGTTCTTCAAACTAGGGGCAACTTTCCAGTTGCAGGAATCCGGGGTTGTGCACCTCAGTGACAGATCTCAGGTGTGTCCAGTTCTGACCCACAGCGAAAATGGTTTTGAAAAGTTTTAATAAAAGTTGACTTTGTTCAAATTAATCTTTTTACAACTAAGACCATTTTTTGGACCGAAGCGGAAAATTTTCAGTACCACAACTTTCAATTTCATTGATTTCAAAATAGAGTTCTCCTGCACTTGCATACAATCGAGGTAGCTTTTTAGTACATTCATAAAGAAAACTTGAAAATGCTAAATAAGCAATAAATTTGGGGCATAGTTGAGTCAAGTATCTCTGCGCCCCCTCCCAGAGCTGGTCGAAGCATCTGATGCCAAGCTAGGCCCAACCTGTGCCTCCTCGTTGAGCCAATCCAAGCACTCATCAGACAAAGTGCAACTGAAAGTGGGAGCGGGAGCCAGGAGCTCTCTAGTCCTCCATGCTGTGGCATATCGTGCAAGCTGTGCACCCCGAACCGGGAAAGCGGCTGGGTACTCAATCCCCTCCGGTGGGCATGTCTGATCATGACCAAACTGACGCAGGAACCGGAATGGAAAATAGAATACGCAGTGGGTTAGACCAATCAATTGGATCCCGATCAGCCGGGACATACTATAGCTCATTGCCGGGAGGTTGAGCCAAGGACAACGCCAAGCAATGTGATCTATGGACAAATTGCACATCCAATCAAACCACCACCTTTCGTCAAGAGCATTGACTAGGCGCTGCCGAAAGAAGTAGCCTTGAGCCGAGTAGGCTGGGCAAGAGTCCACAACCTGCAACTTATCCATTAACCATACCTGGGGAGGGATGGAAAATGAGAGAAAAAAGAACAGAGAGATGTACGATGAGAGAAAAGTAAGACAAGGGTTTTGTGAGAAAAATAGATATAGATTCCTTTGAAAAATTTGCATCTATTTGCGAATACCTGCTTCATTACAGCTTGTTGCATTTGCATGATCATTGAGTTACCTCCGGCTCTGTGCATATCATTTTGCATTTTGCCCCCTGCCTGCAGGCATGCCTGCGGGCACATTTCCTTATTATCCAGTATGTTTATCTAAGTCTTCGGCCTTGTCAAAAATGGGTTGTCTCTGGGCTTTGACATTCACTCCCGTCACCTATGACTTCCGAGTTCTGTCAAAAAGGGGCAACTGTAGACACCTCATTTTTGACCGACCTTATGACTCAGACGTCACCGATTGCGCGCTTGGTGATATTGCATATCGTGCTCGTTCAGAAGTCGCAAAGTCTTGGCTGCAAGCCTTGCCTTCGGACTTTCGGACTCTTTCATACCTTGCCTCGGTTTGCGAACCAGGCTCGGTTTTCTCTGTTTCTCTTCCTGAAGGGAGGGAGAGGTCCTGTAGACCATCTCTCAGTGGCCGTGGGCTACATTTTGTGGCTATAGGCCACTTTGCCCATTTCGGAGTCCGGTTTCTAGTTTTTCGGAGCCGTTGGCCGTATGCCTCGGTTCGGGACCGCCTAACCACCTCCGTTTGCCTCGGTTTTTGGCATGCATCCTATTTACTCCTTTTTAAGGGACACTGGGGTCTGAGAGTCCCACTTCGTGGTCGAATGCCACTTTCGGTGTTTAACAGGCAGTTTTCGGGGCCCCGAACTGCCCGTTCTGGCCCCCGAACATTCGTTTTGCATCGGTTTTCGTTCATTTTTGGCAGGTACCTCTGTTTCATCACCAGGAAGGCCGTAGAAGGGCGGGATGCCAGCAATTGTTTCAGCAACTAGTTATATTCCTCTGGCGCCCTCCGACGCCCGTTTTTCTTCACTTCAAAGCCAATGTTGACCACCCTAGGGTCACTTTCTTGAACTTCTAACCACATATTTGTGTTGTACACACATGGGAGGACACCAAAAGTTGGTGGACGGCCAGTAATTCCACTTGACCCTTTTGAACCCTTCCTAAAAATGGCCTATTCTCTCTCCTGTTTTACAGTTGTCAATTTTGAACCACAGGGTTGTGTTGAGGGCACCTGGGAGGACACCAATTTGTGGTGGCCGGCCATTAAGTATTCTTGACCCTTTTGACCCCTGGCCGGCCGGCCATGGGAGGTAGCTGGCTGGCCACCTGCAGCTCTGAAACCTGGCCGGCTTTGATCTTGGCAGTGTGTACATTCCAGCTGTATATCTGTTTCCCTCCAAAAAACCTGTATCCGGGGGACAACTTTTGGGGGGAAACTTGGCTTGTTTTCCCTCCAATTTTTCCCTCCATTTCTCCCCCACTTTTGCCTACATAACAGAGCCTCCAGCTCTGTCATGAGGGTTACAAAAAATACCCTAAGGGCCTCTTGCATTGAATCCCTCAATCTCTCTCATTTCCTTCAAAAAAACACCCAAATTCCATCCCATTTTCACACCACTACCTAGCACCACCATCACCACTCCATTTCCAGCAGCTTGGGGAGCTTTCCAGCAGCTAGGAGGCATCCAAACTCAAGCCAAGAAGCTACCAAAGTTTGGTCTTCAAGGGTGCGTAACAATTCCCTCTTTTTGAGCTTAGTTTTGCAACTTTTTTTTAGTTATTTTTCTTGCTGTTTTGAACTCCGACCAAAACTGAAAATACCCTTTATTTGAGCTCTATTTCATGTTTCATTAAGGGAATTTTGCCATTTGAGGTCCCCACCTTGCACCTCCTTCTTTATCTCTCCTTTAGGCCCTAATCTTGCATGTTTTTTTTTTTGCCTATGTATGATCTATTTTAGAGTCTGATGTAAACTGTAAATAGGCTTATTTTGAGCCCCTCTTCAACATTGAAGAAGGGCTCAACACTGTTTGGGACCTCCATGTACTACTTGCCTTTATATTCTTCTTTTGGTCCCATTTTTTGCATGCCTTGGCAGCCTATTATGCTTCTGTTTTTAGGCTCTTTTCAGAACTGAAAACAGTCTCATTTTGACCCATTCTTCTTGTTTTATTAAGGGTCTTTCATGGTTTGAGGCATATTTTATATACTTCATGTTGTAGCTCTCTTTTGGCCTTAATTTTGCATAGCATTTTGAGTGTATTTATATACTGTTTTTGGGGCTGCCATAAACTGTAAATAGTCATATTTTTGGCCCCTCTTAAGTGTTGTAGAAGAGTTTTTTTCTGTTTGGGCTTTACATCTACCACTTGCTTCTTTGTCCATTCTTTGGTCCAATTCTTGCATAAGAGCTTAGCCATACCTATGTTTGTTTTTGGGGTTTTTACAGTTCTGTAAAGTGTCATATTTTTGGCCCCTCTTCAATATTGTAGAAGGTCCCTAACCTGTTTGGGGTCAACAGCTGTGAGTTGCTTCTTTATCTCACATTTAGGGCCATTTTTGTATGCTTGTTTTGCCCTGTTTTTGTTTACTGTTTGGCCATGCTTTGAACTGTTAAAATGCTTATTTTGGGGCTGCCTTGCTTCTGTCTTTACATTCCATGTACCAATTATGCATGCTTTGTATAGCTGTAGTTCATTCTATGTGCCTAATTTCGCATTTCGGGAGAGATTCCATGCATCGGGTGTCATTTCGCCTCGTTTCGGGGCTGTTTTCCCCCTCATTTTGCTACTGAAAATTGCATGCTAGCATATCATATTCCATGTCTTTGCCATGTCTCATTAGAGTGGCATTTCGATGCCTGAGGGTAGGTCCTCGGTTTGCGTGCATGCGTGCACGCATTTCGAGTCATCTTGTTTTCATCTGATGGCTTCCTATGTGAGTGTAGCTGAGGCTCTCTCGTGTTGGTGTAAGCCCATCATTGCATTGCGTATGCCATTTCATCCATAGCATTGTGTATGTTCGGTTGTGTATTACCTCGTGTAGCGTGTATGCCATTCCATAGCATTGTGTATGTTAGGATCGTATCTTAGTTGCATTTCATGCATATCATGCATATCGCATCGTGTTCAGGATAGGAGTTAGCCTGGGCACGGGAAACGAGGCACATTTCGTGCTCCGAGTGACGAAATGTGTCTCAATTCCCTAGTCACTGACACTCCGGATTATCCATGATGGAGTTAGGTTTTGTAGTATTTTCATTTGCATTCATTTCATATCGAGTTGTGCAATTCGACTCCTCGGCCATCATACATCGGTATGCGTGATTGGTGGCACGAGGATCGAGACATGCATACATTTGTGAAAATACATTGCCATGCCCCTTTCCTGCTCTCTGTTGCAGCAAAATGAAGAATCAACAAAATTTTCTATTGTTTTTATTTTATTTTTTGCTTCACCTTTGTGAGCAAAGGTTGCTTTTGGCTGGGCAACAATATTATGAATTTAGACTTAATTGCTTGAAAATTATGAATCTCACAATATACAAATTTAATCTCTACCATACAATCACTCACCCATAAAAGTCTTGGTGATTTCACAGTTGGAAAAAGTTACATTTATTTTTTCAAACTTTTGTTTTTTAGTAATTTTTTAAAATTTATGTCAAATTTTTTATTTTTCAATTTAGTCTAATTTAGAAGGAATTAAAAAAAAAATTACAACAAAATAAATAACTTTTTTTTTCTTTCTTTAAATGGCTTTTTGCTTTTTGTTTGTTTTAGGCCCATCTCATCTAGTAAAATCTAAATGTGATTTTTTTTTTAAATAATAAAAAAAAATCACTAAATAAATATATTTAGCATACATGAAGGATTTGGTTATTCCTCCTTCTTGGCGTCGACAATGACCAAGAAACTGGGCCGCAAGTTTTCCATGCTTATGGGCGGTTGTGTCTTCTGTTGCGGTGCTCTTCTCAATGCCTTTGCTGTACACCTCGCTATGCTCATCATCGGTCGAATTTTGTTAGGTATTGGTGTTGGTTTCGCCACTCAGGTAATTCATTCAGAAAAACGAAAGCTCTTTCTTTCTTTCTTTCTTTCTTTCTTTCTTTCTTTCTTTCTTTCTTTCTTTCTTTCTTTCTTTCTTTCTTTCTTTCTTTCTTTCTTTCTTTCTTTCTTTCTTTCTTTCTTTCTTTCTTTCTTTCTTTCTTTCTTTCTTTCTTTCTTTCTTTCTTTCTTTCTTTCTTTCTTTCTTTCTTTCTTTCTTTCTTTCTTTCTTTCTTTCTTTCTTTCTTTCTTTCTTTCTTTCTTTCTTTCTTTCTTTCTTTCTTTCTTTCTTTCTTTCTTTCTTTCTTTCTTTCTTTCTTTCTTTCTTTCTTTCTTTCTTTCTTTCTTTCTTTCTTTCTTTCTTTCTTTCTTTCTTTCTTTCTTTCTTTCTTTCTTTCTTTCTTTCTTTCTTTCTTTCTTTCTTTCTTTCTTTCTTTCTTTCTTTCTTTCTTTCTTTCTTTCTTTCTTTCTTTCTTTCTTTCTTTCTTTCTTTCTTTCTTTCTTTCTTTCTTTCTTTCTTTCTTTCTTTCTTTCTTTCTTTCTTTCTTTCTTTCTTTCTTTCTTTCTTTCTTTCTTTCTTTCTTTCTTTCTTTCTTTCTTTCTTTCTTTCTTTCTTTCTTTCTTTCTTTCTTTCTTTCTTTCTTTCTTTCTTTCTTTCTTTCTTTCTTTCTTTCTTTCTTTCTTTCTTTCTTTCTTTCTTTCTTTCTTTCTTTCTTTCTTTCTTTCTTTCTTTCTTTCTTTCTTTCTTTCTTTCTTTCTTTCTTTCTTTCTTTCTTTCTTTCTTTCTTTCTTTCTTTCTTTCTTTCTTTCTTTCTTTCTTTCTTTCTTTCTTTCTTTCTTTCTTTCTTTCTTTCTTTCTTTCTTTCTTTCTTTCTTTCTTTCTTTCTTTCTTTCTTTCTTTCTTTCTTTCTTTCTTTCTTTCTTTCTTTCTTTCTTTCTTTCTTTGCTCCAATATTATTACTACAGTCACACTTTGAACACAATAACGAAAGCTCTAACTTGTTTGTTTCAAATTACATTACAGTCAGTGCCACTGTTTGTATCGGAGATGGCTCCACATAGATACCGCGGAACCCTCAACGTCTGCTTCCAACTATTCATCACAATCGGCATTCTGATTGCCGGTCTGGTCAACTACTTCACCAACATGATCAAGGGCGACTTGGGCTGGCGCATCAGCTTGGGCGGTGCCGCTGTTCCAGCCGTCCTCATGATCTTCTCATCTCTCTGGGTCTCCGAAACCCCAAACTCCCTCATCGAGAGAGGCCATTTGGACAAAGCCAAGAAGCAGCTCCAGCGCATCCGTGGAGTCGCCGACGTCCAAGCCGAGTTCAACGATCTGGTGGATGCGAGTGCAGCCTCAAAGGAAGTGGAACACCCATGGAGAGACCTATCCATGAGGAAGTATAGGCCTCAGCTTTGTTTGGCTATTTTGATTCCCATGTTTCAGCAACTCACTGGGATCAATGTGGTTATGTTCTACGCTCCTGTGCTGTTCAAGACCATTGGGTTTCAGAGCAATGCTTCGCTTGCATCGGCCATGATCACCGGTGGTGTGAATGTTCTTGCCACATTTATCTCTGTTTTTGGGACTGATAGGTGGGGGAGGAAACCCCTGTTTCTATGGGGAGGTGGCACCATGATTGTGTTTCAGGTAATCCTTGTAACCAATTCTTTTTCTCCATCGTCTTTCTATTTATGTATTGAATTTTTTTTTTTTAATTGTTTTTTTCATGTATGTATTATTTATATATGCAGAGTGCAGTAGCAGTTCTTATTGGTACTAAATTTGGAGTAACAGGAGATGCTACCGATTTGGGAACACTATATTCAAGCATCCTAGTATGTTGTATCTGCATTTTCGTCACAGCTTTTGCATTCTCATGGGGTCCTCTGGGATGGTTAGTGCCCAGCGAAATCTTCCCTCTAGAAATTCGGTCATCTGCGCAGAGTATCGTCGTGGCCGTGAATATGTCATTCACTTTCCTCGTTGCCCAACTCTTCCTTGCTGCTCTTTGTATGGTCAAGTACGGCTTATTCATCATCTTTGCAGGTTTAGTGCTAATCATGAGCCTCTTCGTCATCTTCTTCGTGCCGGAGACCAACAATATACCCATCGAGGAAATGTCACAAGTGTGGAGAGGGCACTGGTACTGGAAAAAATTTGTTGATGATGAAAAGGAAATCGAGATGAAGAATGGAATGCCTTAGAAAGATATACATAGCTAGCTTGCATTTATTTTGTATTCTTTTTTGGGTTTTTAGTTTTTTTTTTTTTTCATTAATACTTTAAGTTGTTCAACAAAAAACAAGGTTGTTAGGATTCTTTTATATAAATTTTACTAGTCTTATTACATTTATTTGTGTTTGTGTATGTTTGCAAGTGTTTGTATTGTTTTTATTTTATTTTTTGCTTCACCTTTGTGAGCAAGGTTGCTTTTGGCTGGGCAACAATATTATGAATTTAGACTTAATTGCTTGAAAATTATGAACCTCACAACATACAAATTTAATCTCTACCATACAATCACTCACCCATAAAAGTCTTGGTGATTTCACAGTTGGAAAAAGTTACATTTATTTTTTCAAACTTTTGTTTTTTAGTAATTTTTTAAAATTTATGTCAAATTTTTTATTTTTCAATTTAGTCTAATTTAGAAGGAATTAAAAAAAAAATTACAACAAAATAAATAACTTTTTTTTTCTTTCTTTAAATGGCTTTTTGCTTTTTGTTTGTTTTAGGCCCATCTCATCTAGTAAAATCTAAATGTGATTTTTTTTTAAAATAATAAAAAAAAAATTCACTAAATTAATATATTTAGCATACATGAAAGATTTGGTTATTCCATACTCCATGTTTGTTGAAAAAGGCAGTCTTTCTGGTAGTTTTCCTTAATTTTTAAAAATTTTATTTGGTTGCCTAGCATTGTTTTTCGTTTTGTATTTTCTAATATTAATTGTTGTAGTTGGGCTATAAGAAAGTTTGTGGAAAATGCTACTTTCATATCGTTAGATTTTGATTATTGGTGTAAAACAAATCAAGTTAAACTTGTTAAAAGTGCATTCAAGATCGCTTGTTATTTAAACAAATCAAACTTGAATACAATTTCAAGCACCAAAATTACTATTATTTTACTTGGTAATCTTATTTTACATTATAAAAATCTAAGCCACTATAATCATTTAAGATTGACTTGAAAATCAAATTTATTATAACATATAGGAGTTTTAGGGACCAAACTTTTGTATAAAAAAATAAAAATTTTGCTACAAAAAAAACATTTGGTTGACTAATTCTTGTCGTCGTCTCGAAATGTTGGGAAAAAAAATTTAGCCACAAAAATTTGAAAATGTTTCTAATAACTTAGAAACAAATAATTTGATTAAAAAAAAAATAACAAAATTTGAGACATTTGAATAACGAAACGAGAGCTCAATCTGTATCAATATTAATATCTTATACTCCACACGCCCAGGTTATGTCATTGTTGTTGTGGGAGCAAATAAAGAATGGAAATTGTAAATCAATTAGGGATGGCAATTTGAACCCGGCCCGACTGGAACCCGGCCCGACAAGGACCCGACCCCCCGACCCTGATTTAAGCGATTTTTTTCCAAAAAATATCCCCAACGGGACGGGGATGGTATTCAAAAATAATCCCCGATCAGTTTCAGGCCGGGGACGGGGATAAGTGTCCCAGCCCCGTACCCGGCCTGGCCCGGCCTCGTTCCCGATCATCCCCGAAGCAAAATTACTATTTTACCCCTTTCTATATATATAAACCAAACAACTCTCTCTCTGAGTCTCACGGCTCTCATCTCTCTCTCCCTCACTCACGGCTCTCATCTCTCTGAGTCTCACCACTACTCTCATTTCTCTCCCTCACTCACTCAGATCTCTCTCATCTCTTATCAGCATCAACATTATCCAGATCCACCACCACCACCACCATCGATCTGAATAGATCGGTGAAGCCACTGATCTGAAGCCACCACCACCACCAAACCCTCTGTTGCTACAGATCTGAAGCCACGACCATGACCAGGACCGTGAAGCCACCGATCGATGTCTTGATGCTGATAAGAAGCTACCGATCTGAAGCCACCGATCGTGAAGCCCTCATTCTCTCTCTTTCTCTCTCTCTCTATATATATATATCTGTTGTTGATGGATAAACAATTTTTTTTTCCAAGTTGTTATCTGTATTATCTGTTGTTGTCTGTTGTCGTTAATGAACAATATTATATCTGTTGTGTGTGTGTGTGTGTGTGTGTGTGTGTGTGTGTGTTGAACAGACCTGTATACATACAGATTAAATTTTTTTTTCTTTTTTGTTCTTGTGTTTGTATCTGTGTTAAACAGATTTGTCAGAGATTTTTCGGGATCGGGAAAACCCAATCCCTGTTAGAAAACGGGGACGGGAGAGGTGAAGGGTTCCCCGCCGGGGATCAAGGGCAGGGCCAGAGGTTTTGTTACTGTCGGTGATCGGGGACAGGGAGGGTCATCCCCGGCCTGGCCCGCCCCGTCCTGTTGCTATTCCTAAAATCAATGAAGATGGTCCAGCTTGTCTCATGTTTGAGATTAAGGTTGGACTGTCCACTCTGGCTCAGGGGCCCAATTTTGGGTCCCGTTTTGATAATCCGAACTATTCAATGTGTAGAACCCGTCGAGTACCATATCCCTCTAAAAAATCACGTTAATCGGATATCGCTAGCTATTTGATCGGATCAGATTTTTGTCCACCGTTTATTTTTTTATCCATTTTTTTTATACGAATCTTTTCCGATCAAATAGTTATCAATATCCAATCAACGTGATTTTTTAAAGGGATATAATACTCAACGATTTCTATATATTAAACGGTTCAGATTATTGAAATGGGACTCAAAATGGACCCATGGACTAAACTAGAAGGTCCAGTCTTGATCTCAAACATGAGGCAAGCTGGACCCAATGAAGATAACCTTCACGTTTGTACAAATTCTTTTTCATATTGCCACTTCTTTCAAAATAAAATGATTTATCAACAAAATTTTTACTCGTATAAAATGATATGGCTATAATATTTTTATACACAAAGATTGAGATGAAAGACCATAAAATCATACATAATTTTTTGGGAAAATTATCCATTAGTGATCCTATCAAAAAATTGTAGGTGTTTTAAAATATATCACTTTTCTGTATTTTTTATTTTTTATTTTTAAATCTCACACTAAATTGAAATTTTCCTGAATTTTTTTTTATGAAATTTTCCACTGCAACAAATGATACTTTTAGCGACTAAATTTTTAGTTGCCAAAAGTCACACTTTAGTCGTCAAAACTTTTACTGACCAAAATGTTTGGTCACCAGATTAGTAGTTGAATAATTGTCGAGAAAGGTAATTGGCGACCAAAAATGGTTTAGTCGCCAAAAGTCCCCCATTGGCGACAAATTTTTTAGTCGCCGAAAGCTTTCAAATAAATTTAATATTGCATTTTCAGCGACTAAAATTTTCAATTATTTAGTTACTAAAAGTTTTAGTCGCCAAAATATTTTTTTGGTTCATCTTATTTCTTTTTAGCTACTAAATGTTTGTCGCCTAAAATCTAATTTTCTTTTTTAGCTAAACTTTTAGTCGCCTAAAGTCTAATTTTTTTATTTTTTTTTTGGAGGGGGGAGGGGGCTACTAAATATTTAGTCACCAAAATTTTTTTATTTTGTTTTTATTTATTTTTTAGCTACTAAAATGTTGGTTGCCTAAAGTTGCAAGTTTTGATAGCTACTATATATTTAGTCGCCAAAATATTTGTTTTCATTTTAATTTTTTAAGCTATTAACTATTTAGTCGCTAAAAATATATACTTCCTTTGTAGCTACCAATTGTTTGGTCGTCAAAATCATCATTTTATGTTTTTTTAAAATTAATTTGTCCATAACCTGTATGTATTCTGTGCAACCTATATCATGTATATAAACGAAACAATACATATATTATCAACTATTCGACAATCTACATCAATTTCACTTCCAATCATCCAAAAATGAATAATGTCTAATTCCATATAAACCAAGTATATTCCAACCTATAATAATAGTTCCATACAAAACAAAGAATCATACGAAAATCATATCCTTCGTACACAAAAAATATATTCATTACCATGCCAAATGGTTTGGCATGGTACAAATTATCATGGTAATCTATTCCACGAAAAGCGGTAATCGATATATAGCACGCCAAAAGTATTATATACCATTCTAAAAATGATCTATACGATTAATACTAATCCACACAAAAGCTAAAGATGACAAAATAGGCTAATTATACAAAAGTGTAAATTGTCCACTATACAAAAAAAAAAAAAAAATGGAATATCTACAAATTCACGCCAAAAGCCATTTACCAAAAATTTTTTTTTTTGCACCCATTAGTACCCGAAATGCATGTAGAACTTGATACTCTAAGGCAAATACATTAGAGGTTATGATGAGTAAATTAAAATGTTTTTCTTCTTCAATACTTTTTCCATCATACTCTTAGACATGGTTGAAGTGTCAACTGAAAAGATCTAAATCAGTGAATATCATTCAACACACAGTGAAACAACTAATTCTAGATTTAGAGTTTTGTTTATGTACATGATGAGTGAAGAAAATTGGAGTTGACTTGAAGAATGCAAATGCCATACAAATTACAACCTTTGAGATCCCAAAACACTGATAAACTCACTCCTATGAACATCCCAAAAACACACACACTTCAACCATTACAAGTGCTTACAGTATTGGATACAAAATGCACAGATTTAAGGCCATGTTTACAGCTATAGATGTGAAGTTTAAGGCGTTTTCGCCCCCCAAACGCCATTTTTCGACTAAGTTTAAGGCATTTTCGACTCTAATTCCCAACCTACATGTGCTAATTATGTCCCGTCTATCCCCACAAGTCCTATTTGTCATGAGGAAGTTGTCGTGACATCTATTAGTGGTTCGGAAGCTGTTTTGCATTTTCCTCCCCCTGAACGCCCTTTTTTGACTTAGTTTAAGGTGTTTTTGACTCTAACTCCTAACCTACATGTGCAATACATGCCTTTTGTCTTAGATTTTACTCCAACAATAAAGGCAAGGCCAATGCTACATACCTGTACCAAAGATGAATGATGTGTGTTCATGCCAAAGACATGATTCATAATAAAAATTTTCTAATCCATTATGTAATCTTTTTATATGGTTGTAGAAGAAGACACACATTCTCCATAACAATATATATGTTAAACATCTTGTATATAGACTATAATTATCAATATTTGGAAATTGTTATTAGAGCACAATAAAGGACTAACGGAAATTCAATTTCATGAAAATAACAGAAAG